ATATAAAGAAGAGTCGATGTTCTTATAAATATAAACTCATCGATATAAAGAACGTCCAAAATTAAGTTAGCCTCAACAACAACATCACGACACGGGGAAGAAGGTGTAGCAGATTTTGTTGCAATGTTGATAGCCGAATCGGGCTCGACTGACAGATTTGGAGTGAATCTCGGGAGATATAACAAATCGTCATTATCTCTATCTTGTCATTTGTTTAAGACTCTTATCAAGTCTTCAATACCAAAAAGGTTATCCAACACTTTAAAAGTGTTGTTATGATGACGAATGTTCAAAGAATGCATAATAAAAGAATTTGGTACTCGTTCCTCATCTTCATCCTCAACCCAAGAATCCACCTGAACCGAATTATTCTCCCCAACAATTCCCCCCTCGTCTTCTTCATTCACATTGTGAGGATTTTCACAATCAACATTTTCACACACTATAACGATTAGCTCCTTTGGAATCTTCAGTGAAAAATAACTCTCCCATTTAGAAGCAATCCTCATAAAAGAACAATGGGACCAAGAATGAATTGGAATCCCCTCGACATCAACCTATGCTACACGATCTTGAACCACAAAATATTTAGTCCACTTTGGAATTTGAGAGAACTAGGAATTTATACCTTCATGTCGTTTGAAATTATGGGATGCATGAATAGATTGAAACTTAAACATAACCCAAAGTCCTACTAAATAATACATTTTAAGAGTAAGAAATCCTTCATTAGCACCGATGGATATCAAGTTAGTAAGATTTATAAATTCTCAACCACAAGCCACAAGAATTAACGGATCATCTTTGAAATTAATACAACTTCTGTCAAGAACCAGACCAGGCGAGTCATAATTAGTCTTCAGATGAGTTTGATTTCCCCGAACAACATTGGCATAGGATTGTTTGTACATGCTAACTCCCTGATCAGATGAGTTTGATTTCAAATCATCAATTCTGTTGAACCTTACAAAAGCAAAATGTTTCCCAATTTTGATATTTTTTTGGGAAACTACTACTGATAAATCATGCAAAACCTTGTTTTTGCCTTTCTCACAATAGACCATTCAATATCACTTCAAATATAGACATCACTGTTATTTGAAATCATCTCTTGAATTTTAATAAATTTATTTTTCTTAACAAATTGTATAAGCATTAATACTAATAATTTTCTAATATATATGTGCTAGAACTTTCATTTTTTTTTTTTTTTTATGTTTGAGTTATTTTTTTGTTGAATCATATTTGAAGATCATGGACTAAAAATTCGAAGTTGACCAAAACGTAAAACTAAATTAATATTAAGGTTTTGTATGCATCGAATCTAAGTCGATTTATAAATCCAAGTTTTTTTTAACTATTTTTTTAGATAATTAGTATAAATGTATAATATAATATCGGAGATATATACATTAAAGTCTCAATATATTTAACAATTTGATAAAAAAAAGTCCTAAGCTTTATTTTTTTTACAGTAAAATCCTAACTACTGGAAAATTTTGATATGCTTACCCTTTTTTGCTGGTTAACCGTTAATTAGGACTTTACTATCAAAAAAATAAAATTTAGGACTTTTTTATCAAATTGTGAATTAGGATTTTACTGTCAAAAAAATAAAGTTTAAGACTTTTTGTCAACTCGTTGAAAATATTGAGACTTTATTGTATATATATCTTTTTTTGTTAGAAATTTAATGGTATGATAGTCTTTAACCATAATAGTTATTGAAACCTAATCTACTCAGGTAGATATTATTGAAATCCTTAATGTTTTTTTTTCTTGTTGAATAATATTTTTTTAATCTCAACAAATCGACATTGAAAAAAATAGAGATAATCAAGAAAGAAAAAAAGAATCATGATTGTGTTGACTTTTTGTAGTACTAAAAATGAAGAACTAGGAAACCAGAAAAGACGAAACTGCCCTTTTTACTCCTCCACATTCACACCCTTTTGACTAGGCGTGTGTTGTTTGTATTTATACAATTTATACCCTCTTTTCAGTTCAAGATTTGGCGGCGAACCAAGAAGAAAGCTTTATAGGTCTTCTCACCCTCTCTTGCACTCTTTTTTGCATTTGTTTCCCCTGATCGTGATTTTATCAGGGTAAAGACGATGATGGTAAGAAAAGTAAGGGTTTTGTAATGAAAATCGCAATTAAAAGTTCTTTGGGCTAAGAATTTGGTCTCTTGAAGCTGATAAAATTATTTGTTTTTAGAGAAACCAAGACTATACACTAAATTCTCAATATTTTCAACGATTGGAAAAAAAGTGCTAAACTTTATTTGCTTACACTAAAATCACAATTACTGGCTAACCGGCAAAAATGTTAAGTGTGTCAAAAATTGGTGGTAGTTAGAACGTTACTATCAAAAAAAATAAAGTTTAAAACTTTCTTGTAAAATCGTTGAAAATATTGGGACTTTATATATATTCCTATAATATCGTTATGGAAATAATTTTTTCTTTTTCTTTTATAAAATATAGCTTCACATGATTTGTTTTAATAAAATGGAAATCACAATTTTTTGAAAACATCAATGAAGGTGCTGTAGAATTTTCTTTTCTTAAATTTATCAATCTAAAATCTGAATATATATTATTTTCTTAAAAGGTATAGCAAAAAACGCATGAGTTAAAACATTGATTTGCATGGTCTCAAGGACTCACTATATTAAAAGTGCATATCATAAAAGTAGCAATAGCTCAACATGAATCATTGGTATGGTCATATAAGTCAACCTTATATCTCTTACTTTAAGAAAAAGTGAAGAAATAAACATAGGAACATGAAAAGGTCAAAAGTGTCTTTTGCTAACAAATTTTTTTGGTACCCAAAAGTCAAAAAATCTATCAAATCTGAGCTTGAAACTGGTTAGATACTGAATTTACTTCAATGATCGACAATATACTAAAAGGTTTATACCATATAAATGACATGAGTTTTCCAACCCCTAAAAGCAAGCCTGCGCTTCACTGTGTAAAATTTGACACATTCAAATGTAAGTATGTACATTGTTTGAATTCTAAAAAAAATTAAAATAAAAAAAATAAAACAAAGCACAAAAACAAAACAAAACAAAAAATCCTTGATAAACCAATCAATGAAAAAGAACAGAAAATGCAAAATTTGGTGAACGGATGAACATGGTAAGCCGAAGCCCAGAACTACGAAGCCCAGTTCTAAATATTAGCCCATTTTAGAATATTGGTCAGTCCAAAATTTAGACGGCTTAATTACATAAAAAGTTTCGGCTCTCATTATTTAGGCTATGTTTGGCGTTCTAACTGAAAAGTTGGCTGATAGCTGAAAAACTAGGTGTTAAATAAAAAGTTAGCTGATAAAAAAATAACGTTTAATAAAACTAGCTGAAAAGCTAGTTGAAATATATAAAATTACATAAAATGACATGTGAGGGTATATGTTTCTATAATTAACTAAGGGGTGTATTTGGAAATTTTTAAAAAAACTCCTAAAAAGCTAGTCTAAGTAGTTTTTCAAAAAGCTAGCTTATAAGGTACTTTTTGGCTTACCAAACACGACAACATAAAAAAATCGAAAAATAAAGTAGCTTATCAGCCAGCTGTGATGCGCCAAACACAGCCTTAATCTCGTAACAAAGTAAAACGTTAATAGTGTCTTTACTTAAGTTCAATCAAATAGATATTTATTTTATTTTATTAGAAATATCAAAAGAAATTTTGCCCAGCATAGTCACTTTCTGTGTAGTGGCTTTATAAATTGCCGCCGATTCCAAAAAAAGAAATATTAAAAAGAAAAAAAATTACATAATTTATTATAGAAATCAATGGATTTAAACTGTAAACGTCTTTGTTATTTTCATTGTTTTCGTCGTGAATGTTCTAATTTTCTCATCGTCTTTATCATGAATATTATTTTATTCTTGGTCTTGAATAATTTTTTAAATTTCATTTTCATTTTTGAAAATTTCACAACTCGCCTTTGTCTTTAGATATCCTTCTTCGTCATCGCTTTCTCTAAATCATGAGTTGATAAATTGTGTGCCATTCTCCTCAAGTATCTCATTTTCTATGTTCTCAATCTCAGCCTTAAGTGATAAGGGGTGTTGAATGTTTTTTGCTACATCCAAATAGTATTATAGACAAAAACAAACATCCATATCCACAACATTATAAATTTATAATCATGCCAATGACCGGAACATCCATAGATGACAAAAATCAGAAAGCATATATGGTTTCTAAATTTGAGAGGGGGGGGCTCGCTAACTTCATTTCATGTTATTATAAAGTTGTATAAAGTTCAGTTTCAATGATGTGCCACTACTTGATGCTCACTCGTGTATAGTCATAATGGTTTCATACCTATTAAAATAACCGTTAAATAAGCTTGTAATTGTATTACTAAAATTTATTTCCTGCGTGAGTGCAAATGTGGGGCCTTCTTAGTTAGGCTTATGTCATGTGATTGTGTCATTTACCCACAACGTTGTCACATCACCATCTTCTTGTCACATCACCATCTTCTCTCCATCATTCTTAAGCCTAGAGATTATGGGATGATATTCGTTGAAGGAAACGGCATTGAGGTGAAGAAAAGCAGACAAAGAAAGAGAAGAAGGTGTTTCTTCCTTCTTAACGGCGTTGTGGATGTGCCACGTAGGCTCTTCCATGCCGTTTCCGTCTCACACCCAATAGTCTTATCAAAGGCTAGCGTAAATTACACCGTTGGACCCCCATGCATATGTCAAAAAGCGTGTTTAGTCCCTATTTACAAAATTTAACTCGGGCAGTCGCTCGTTGTTATGTTAGTCCCTATAGACGTTAACCGCTAAATGCTTCAGTTTAAGCTCCCCATGTGCCTTGCGCGCAGGGGCATTTTGGTCTTTTCATGGTTTGTGTCCATTCTTAATGTCGTTTCCCTTAAAATCTTATAAAACACTGCAACCCTCCTTTCCTCTATCATCCTCTCCTTCGTCTCCTCCCCTCGTTCGATCGATTTCTTCCAAGTAGACAACAATGATTGATATTAAATGCAATTGTGGAGCCACTACAGTGATTCGCACATCTTATAGCAAAAGAAACCCTGGGAAACTCTACTATGCTTGTACGGTAAAGGCAAGGTTAATGATTTTAATTTCGTTCTTCGTCTTCTCTAATTTTGCCCTAATTCTTGATCTACTTTAATCAGTTCAGGGACCATTATGCAAGTTCATAGGATGGGTGAATGATTATGATCAGGACTGTGATTGTATGGCGTTTAGGATGAAACTTGAAGAACAAAATCGCAAATTGAAGTTTTACCTGGTTATTAGTTGGTTTTTTTTGTTTCAGTCTTTATATATAAAGTGTAGGTTTAGTAATGAAGTTCTTAGTATTTTGTTATGTGTATTTTGTATTGTTATTTGTATTATGAAAAAACCTTCAATTCCAGTTACAATATGTTGTATAATCATAATGTGGTGTTCTCATTTGGTGTTCAAATTTAATGAAAATGTGGTATTTGCAACATACGCAATATATCATTCAATACATGTAGCATCCAATATAACAATAAAAAAGGACAAAACTTAAAATATCCAAGATCACTATTTACCATTAACATAAAGGGACATCCAAAATAGCAACATAGTGTTATGGCATACAAATAGTTATCCTAGATAGCAACAAAGTATCAAGATACAAAACATAACAACAAAGTAATAAGACAATCAATGTCTAACAAAAACATAGTTATCCTTCATGATCATGATACCAAACTACAAATTCTCAAAGCATGGGGATTTTTCCCTTCTTCCCAACTCATTTTTTTATACCACCACTACAACCTGCTGCACCTTGACTTGTATTTGCTCCTACACTCTTGTTAACTCCTACATTGCAACCTTCTGCACCTTCTCATGTTTTATTCCCTGTTGCACCTTCTCCTATTCCATTCTCAGTATGTGATTGTCCCTTGTAGGTCCTTCCATTAGGGCCCACAGTTCCATATTTTGCGCATGTTACGAATTTCCATTTTGTGGACACTCCATCATCTTCTGTTGCAGATCTTCTTCTCTTTTTTTTGGTCTACCAATAGGGACACGATACTTTGGTGGTATCAACTTGGTAGGACATGTGCTTTTTTCCCACAAAACCTCCCATTAATAGGTTCAACTTTGAGGACATACATTTCTTTCCAAGTCTTGAGCCAATATATTGGGTGAACCCATGTCTCGAGTATTCCAACATTTTCATTGTTGAGCCTCATATAACATATAACTGCTATACTATGTTTGCAGGGTATGCCTGTCAGTTCCCACCCGTTACATGAACAAGTTTGTTGTTCCATATTAACCAAAGAATACAACCCAAAATCTAAATCCCAAGTTAGTCGTTTGAAATGGTAGTAAATACTTTTACTTGGTTCCACGCAATCAATCAATTCCATTATCTCATCCATATCATGCACCAAGAACAAGTCACTATCAATGTCATCAATATAATTCATCTTCCCCTTTATGTATTTGCGGCCTGGAAACTTCGTAAAAACTCCACCATAGTTCAATCGTATCGAGAACATAGATAGATTGTCAGCTACAAACCCAAAAAATTAAAAAAAAAAAATTACCTTTTAGGAACGTATAATGGATGATAAACTGAGTATGTAGAAAATTTTACCGTATGAGCTTTGGAGATCGTATTCCTCCCATTCTTGCCTAATCCTCCGGTTCACCATCGTAGAAAACTAGGGTTTTCTTGTGCAATGCTTAGGGTCGACGGAGGATGAAATGAGAAATGATCGGTTCTCGAAATCGCGCCATAGTGGTTCATATATACAAACCCTGAAAAGACAAAAATGCCCTTGCGTGCAAGGCATGTGGGGAGCTTATACGGAAGCATTTAACGGTTAACGTCTATAGGGACTAACCGTGCAAGAAAAATAACAACGAGGGACTGCCCGAGTTAAATTTTGAAAATAGGGACTAAACACGCTTTCTAGCATGTGCACGAGGGACCAACAATGTAATTTACCCTAAAGGCTTAAACTATATATACCCCTTTATGTCTCAACTACAACCCTCTTATTATCTTTATTATTTTTTATTAATAATACATTATAATATTAATATTTTTATTATAAAAAAAACTCTAAATGACAATACAATGGTATTTCAAGTGATTGTTGGAATTCAACTTATTGTATAAAGGTTCAATACTATGACGACGGTGGAATTCAACTCTAAATATTATAATATTAATAAATATTCTTATTAAAAAAGTCTAAATGACAATATTGTGAAGGTTCAACAGAGAAAAAAAAAGTTAGAAATAAGGGAATGAATTTGGACCACATATTTCAAATGTGCCGCTTAAACGCTCTAGCGTACTATAAGAATGGAACAATGGTGGCGGCGGTGGCAGAGGTGGTGGTGATGGCAAGGGTAGCGGTGGTGGTGGTGATGGTGGTGGCAGTTACGATGGAAATGTTGGCGAAGGTGGTGGTGTAGGCGGTGGCAGCGGTGCAAAGGTGGTGGCATGGGTAGCAGTGGCGTGACAATGGGGGGCAGCGGTGGCGGACGTGATGGTAGTAGCGGTGGCAGAGGTGGTGACGAGTAGCGGTTGTAACACCCGGTCTCAGGTACGCATTTAAATTATATTCAAACTTCATAATTTACTCTTGGACTCAGCGAATTGGGGGCTTAACTCGTCGAGTAGGATCGACTTTGGGTCGGGGGATTAAGTGACCTACTCGACGAGTCGGAAGACCGACTCGGCGAGTAGGAGCAGTCTGAGTGAAACCCTGAATCGGAGGGTTTGCACCCTATTCAAACATCTTATGAGGCTTCCACCCTAGCCTCCACCACCTCCATAGCATTACACCCGAAACCCGAATCCTCCATAAGTGAACTTGAGCTTTCGTGGTTGTTTTGAGTATTATTTGGTGTAACTTGAAGCTAGTGGAAGATAGAAGACTCAAGGGAGAAGGAGTAGATCCAGGAGCTACATCCAAATTGCCATCTTTTTTGGTAATCAGGCTTACAACTTGGTCTTCTTTCTCTTAGATCTATTTGTCGCCATATTAAGAGGGTTTTGGCCCAAAAACCTTGGTCCTTGATGTTGGGACGTCCCAAGTGGTTCATATCTCAGATCTAGGTTCTAAGGAGGAGTACATGGCATAAAGATGCAAGCTTTATGGCTACGATATCCCCATGCACCTTGTAGACCTCAGTTTTGGGTCTTTTGAGCTTAAAGTCCCATGTATGGACGTAAAGTTCATGACTTTATGTGTTATATCAACTGTAGGAGCCCAGATCTACCTTTTGAATGAGTTTGGCTCATCAGAAATCGAGTTTTGGACATGGGTATTAGTCAACTCGGCGAGTTGTTCTTGGGACTTGGCGATTCGGGGGTTTGGCTTCCCAACCTTCTATGATTCGAAGGAGTCCAGTTTAGTTTAGAAGGGATTTAGATGAGCCCAGAGGAAGGACTCAGCGAAGTAGACATAGTTATGGACCTGGAAACTATAGGACTCAGTGAGTGTATGAACATCCTCGGCGAGTCCAAGACAATCTCCCAACCCATGAAGATGGACTCGAAGAGTTGTTCATACAACTCGGCAAGTCACAGACTAGACACGTTCATATGATGAAGATGAACTCAACGAGTTCAAGGAAGAACTCGACGAGTCGGTTGAAGATTGTCCTGATGACATGATCGAAGGAGAACTCATCGAGTTCTTGCTAGACTTGATGAGGAGAGTCGAGTTGGGGACAGGTGAAATAATAGGGACTCGGCGAGTTAGCGGGCCAACTCGGCGAGTCGAGTCAACTGGAAGTTGACTTTGACCAGGATGTTGACTTTAGCTAGGGGTAAAATGGTCATTTTACCCTAAGATTAGTTATCAGTTTTTTACTAAGTGTCTTTATGGAAATTATAGTCGGAAAGTCGCCGGAGCAGCATGCAGAGATTTCTCACTCAGAGTTTCAACGGTCAGACATACGAGGTGAGTTTTCCTCCAGTAGGATCGGGTCTAAGGCACCAATGTCGGCCCGTTTAAGTAGTAGAGTATGTCGGGGTTATCTCGATGCAGTTTATATGTTTCCGGACTTCGGTCCAATGTCGGGGCAGTCCCGAGAAGTAGTTAGGTATGCTTGATGTCTTTGTGATTCATGTATGTTTATGTGTTATGTGCTATATGTTCCGAACTCCGGTTTGATGTCGGGAAAGCCCGATAAAGTATATGTGATTATGTTATATGTTATGTGTTTCGGGGTAAGCCCGATGTACGTTAGTCATTATGCCATGTATTATGTATTCGGGGCAAGCTCGATGGATGCTAGTTTATGTGTTATATGTTCTGGACTTCGGTCCGATGTCGAGGTAAGCCCGATGCAATTTACGTGATTATGTTATGTGTTCATGATATATATGTTATGTGTCGTGGTAAGCACGATGCAGGGGCAAGCCCGACGTCGGGGTGAGCCCGATGCTCGATATGGTCGGATGTCGGGGTGAGCCCGAGGTCGGATAGGAGGTCGATGTCGGAATTCATCCCGATGCAGTTGGGAAGAGTCCCAGAGTTATGTTATTTGTTATATGTGCTTTTTATGGTATGTAGTAGTTTGGGGGAGCTCACCAAGCTTCGTGCTTACAGTTTCAATTTTGGTTTCAGGTACTTTAGCTAGTAAAGGGAAGGGCTCGAACTGATGACATGGCACACACCACAGTCAATTAGCCTGTGAGTTTACTTTAATATTTGTTATGAGACTGTTATATGTTTATCAGATTTTATGAGTTTCGAGATACATGTTTTATGATTTTACACTATGGCAATGAGACCTATGTTTGATAAATGATTTTGAAAACGAAGTTTTTGGCTTGTATTTTTAGGGTGTTTCAGCGGCTGAGGTGGCGGCGACGGTGGTAGTAAAGGTAGTGGAAGTGGCAGTGGGTAAGTGGCAAATGAAATGGGAGGTGGTTGATTCATATATAAATATATGTAAATTTATATTCACATATGAATATTACATCTCTCCCATTGGGCCGGTACGAAGAACGGTTTTGCGATAATATATAAATGAGTGACTGAGATTGATTTCATCATTTCCAACTTTTTTTTAACTGAATATGTATATATATATATATATATATATATATATATATATATATATATATATATATATATATATATATATATATATATAAAGCTTTCAGTTTTGAAGCCACATCTCGTGCCTTCCTTCTAAACCAATACCATCAGTTTCCTTCTTCTCCAATCTTCTAAACCAAGATCTAATTAATAATCTTCACTCTGCCGCCTTCTCTTTTGTTTCAATTAAATTATAACTTTTTCGACTCAGACTCCCATAAAATCTGCCGCAATCTTCTAGGTGTTTGTGTCTGTGTTTCAACATCTTGACTGCCCTCTTCACCATCCATCGAAGCCACATGCTGTTGAAACGTTTTTTTTTATAGTAGGATTTACTTTCTCTTGCCGCCACCTACTGCTTCATTACCTGCAGAGTTGCACCTCGTTTCTTTGATAACCAACTATCTCCTTCTTCTCTTTTTACGTTCCCTTTCTTTTGAATTTTATTTGTAGGTTTTACCACTGCCTTGCTTCTCTGGCCTGAGGTATGTCTTTATACTTCATGTTGTTTCCAGTTAAACAAAGTAATATTCTTTGGTATTTAAGACTTTGCGTTTAGGTAATTTAATTTTCTTTGAACAATGAGATGTCATTGGGATTTAATTTGTATTTTGAAACTTTTTTTTATTGCAATTCTCTCTCCAGTATAGTATACTGGTAGTCATTTTCTTTGGGGATAATTTAACATTATCATAGGCTCTGTGCTGCCCTCTAGACCATGTTTTTGTCGCCGCTTGACCCGTACTAGGGCTGATAATTCTCGACACGACCCACGACATGACAAGAAATAAATCCGCCAACCCATCAACTAGTTTATTAAATGAGTCATATATGAGTTTCTCAAAAAATAAATGAGGTGACCCACCAACCCGTTTATATTTTTAATAATATATATACATATACATATATTATTTTTACATGTATTTATGTATCAATTATCAATATTTAATAATTATTATCTATGTTTGTAGTAATGTTTAGTTTGAACATGCTTCTATGAATGTTTTTTAATTTTCATTTGGATGTTTAAGACTTAAGTAGTTAAGTGTCTAAAATTCGGATATGTTTGCATCAAACATTAAGAATTTCTCCATGTTTAATTGTCAATTTTATTTATGGAATCCGACCCACGAACCCGCCAACCTGTGAACCCGTATAAATAAATGGGTTGACGGGTCATGTATGGGTTTATGTTCCAAACCCGCCAACCCGTGACGTGTATATTTAAATGGGTCGTGTTTGGGTTGGCATATTTGGACCCGCCAACCTGTGACACGCCAACCCGAACACGACACGATTTCCAGTTCTAACCGGTACGTATACAAATTCGGTTAAATCTCTAGCCCCCTCCCTAATTCGTGTTAAGTTTTATGAAATTGTCTGCTTGATTGCGGTTGAGTCTCTTCCGGCCTTGGATGTGGACACATTTATTCATGCCTTGTCAGCCTACCGGACGCTATCTCCATCTACCTTGTGCAACATCCCGCTTGTTTGAAGGTTATAGTTGCTGACGGATTTTATTTGATTCTTCATATCCCAAAAAACTCATCCCATCTCCTCTCTCTTAACCATAATCTTGTCCGGTA